TTGAATGATGCTTGACTTGTTAGGGTATTTTAATATATGGTGTTAATGGAAATTTCTGTTTGGTTAATTATTACCACGTGGTAAGCCCTCATTGGACCTAATGAATGGCGTGTCACTTGGTTTAACTCACCTTTGGCTGGGTGATTTGGCGTTCAAGCATGGCGAAAGGAGGATACAAGGTGCAGTCATGCAAATTAAATACTTGTTCGATTTGTTTGAAAGTATTGTTCGGTTAAATATTTTGTGTGCCCACTTAGTAATTGCATGATTAGTTACATCCGCATGCATCATTACATATTAATTTTTGGTTACTGAGACTTTTAAGTCTCATTCCCCGTGGTTAATATTTTTACAGGAGCGAGTCCGGCCGAGAAAGCACCAGAGGTGTAACTATGGTGTATGAGACACCATCTTTTACGTTACCTCTTATTTTAGATTATACAATGTATCTTGTGCTAACTTAGGACATATCTTCTTTGTGAAGCATGTAAACTCTAATCCTTTTTATTAAAAGTATTTATATGACCAAGAGGATTATGTCTGTCCCTCTTGATTTATGATCTGATTTGAATATCATGACATGAGGATTATGTCTGTCTCTCATGATTTTAATTGCCTTTTTAGATATTTTAAGACTTGTGTTATGTCTTGGATGTATCATGGTAAGAAAATTTTTTACCATGATAATGGTTTTAATAATTTGCGAAAAATCAGTTTGTAAATTTGAGGGTGTTATAGGCTACATTAATATTAATGAGAGAAACTAAATTATTGAAATAGATATTTTTTATAAGAACAAATCTAGAAATTTGTTAAAATTTTAGACAATGTTACTTTTTTCGAACCTATTTATACCCTGTCTAGTTCAAAAATATAAGCAATCTAATACAAGTAAAAAAATTTCCATTTTACCCTTGTATATATTAACCTAAATCTTTGTGTAAATTTATCTCTCGTTCATTGTGAAATATATTGGTAATTGAGATTAAGAACAAAAGGGAAAGGAAATGTATATTTTTATGAAAATGAAGATTTTATTAGTATGTAAATTTTTCTTAAAAACTGCTTATATTTTAAATTGGAGGGAGTAAATCACTTTCAACATATTTAACTAAAATTAAGAAAAATATTAAAACTCATAAGAAAAACATAATTATTAGTCCCTATAATTTTATTAAATTTTGCTTTTAGTCATTGTAGTTTTATTTTAGTATTTTCTTAAAAACACTAAAATTATAGGGACTGTATTAATAAATGTTACCCAATCTTGTTGAACCTATAGGGAATGAAAAAATTAAAAAAATTATAAAGATTAAAAGCAAAATTTAATAAAATTATAAGACTTATAATTGCATTTTCCCAACTCATTACTAGCTCCGTTCAATCCTATTTATAAAGTGGTGAGAGAAAAAAATTGTTTTATTTATAAGTTATGCTTTTTTTTACAAGTTTACCCTTTTACCATTATTAAATATTGATGAAAAAATGTTATGAATATATATAAATATATATACATAATTTATAAATTGTTGCTTCAAGGAACACTAGCGAACTACTGCTAATCTAAGACTAGGCCTAAGACGTAACATCTCAAAATCTTGACATAGAACTAGTTAAAGTAATTGAGAATAAATAGTAAATTGATGATTAATTATGGTGTAGGAAATGATAATCGGATGATCAATAGGTTTGTTGGAACCTTTGATAGACTTGGATTTGAACAAGGAGGGCATTGGGCCACCTTAGGAAATGTGGACCAGATGCAAGTTGGACTCTCTTTATCATCCGTGGGAACACAGGGCAAATCAGGTATATCTTATTCATTGGACCAACAAGGCCAAGGTAAATAAAAATACTGAAAACACGATCATTAATCTTTATAATTTTATTTTTAATTTTTATAATATTTTGTGTGTTTTCAATCATGTTTTCAGTTTTATAAAGATAAAAATACTGAAAATATAGGGATCTGACTAACAAACATTACCCAATCTTGCTAAAATATATAAGTTAAAAGCATGATAAAAATTATAAAAATTAAAAATAAAATTTAATAAAATTATAAAGAACAATAGTTATATTTATATATATTCGCGCGTGCATAACTCATATATGTGTGTGTGTTTAATTGAATGAGTTGATTGATTCTCACGTTACTACTCTTTTTTTTTTTTTTAATTTTATCTCTATAAAATATGATGTAGTTGAAGTTTCAGCTTTCAAGCAAAGCTGGGAATTCAAATTCGCCAGCTTATTAGATTGGATTCAATTCGAGATGAACTAAATTTGGTCGTAATACTCTTGATCTTGTTTGGACCCACATGAATATTTAAATTATTAATTATTTTCTTTTTTAAAAATTCAATTTTATTTAAATTAATTATTTTTATTATTACAAAAATATAACACATGCTCCCTCTATTTAAAAATATAAAGTATTTTAACCAAACTTTACTTTTCAATAAAGTAGTTATTTATCTTTCAATTAATCTTATCTTTTTATATTATTTTTATTAAACACCCTAAAAAAATAAAGTAGTCTATTTAATAGGGGCATTCTTTTAAAAAAAAGTAATAATTATACTTTAAAAGATTCAAAATGTTTTATATTTTTGAACATTTAACTCCTCAAAAAATGCCTTACATTTTTTAAACAGATGGATTATTTTTTAGAATAAGTACTTAACAAATTTAGAAGACTCATATTTTAAAAAAATTGTGAGTTTTGAAATTTAAAAATTAAAATTAAAATATATTTTAAATATTATTTTAAGATATTTTATAGATTAAAAATAATAAAACTATAACAATATTAACATTTTTAAATTTTCTCAAAAATATCTAAAATAATATACTCAAATATATAAATTTTAGTATAAAATGAATTTAAATTTAAAGGATTAATTAATAGCATATATATATATTTTTTAAAAATTAAGATGTTTAAAAAAATTAAGATGTTACTTGAGTATTTGAGTCAAACTTGATCCAGCTTGAGCTTGACCACTCCAAATAAGCTTAACCATACAAAATATGTTATTTTATTTAAATATAATTTTAATTTTTTAGACTTACTCGAGTTGGCCCCTAACAATGCTTCAAGTACTCTCCATTCGCATGTATGCGTACAGAAAACAGAGTAAACTAGATGCTCCTCTTTGTCCCAGAAAAAAAAATAAACAAATAAAACTAGATGCTCCTAGCGCGCATGCACGCATGTGCATATTTTTAATTGATTAGGGTCATTGTCCCACAAGTCACACTCGGAATGACTTAATTAATTCTCTTTTACATTACAATTTCTTAAGCTCTATAGATATATGATGTCGTTGAAGTTTCATTTCAAGTTCAACGGCCAATCCGCCTCTTTGGCCCGAGAGAGAGAGAGAGAGAGAGAGAGAGAGAGAGAGAGAGAGAGGAGAGAGAGAAGAGAGAGAGAGAGAGAGAGAGAGAGGAGAGAGAGAGAGAGAGAGAGAGAGATCACCAAGCCGCCATCTTATATCCGGATCTAAATTCCGATGAATATCTCAAGTATCCGTGCTCAATGAGTGTCCCTACGGTAGCTACGAGATTTATCAACGGGGCAGAACTATCTAATACTCCTTTATTTTTATTATAAAATATTTTTATCTATTTCATCAAAATAAAAAAATATAGTTATTATGTTATAAATTTGTTTTAAAATAAAATAAACTTTAATTTTATACTTGTTTAAATAAAAAAATTTTAATTTGCATTACATCTTTTTTCATAATTAATGTATTTAAATATGAAAATATATTTAAAAAAATATAATTAATATCTATCAAGTATTTTTATCCATTTCATCAAAATAAAAAAAAATAGAGTTATTATGTTATAAATTTTGTTTAAAATAAAATAAACTTAATTTTATACTTGTTTAAATAAAAAAAAAATTTAAATTTGCATTAACATCTTCTTCATAATATGTATTTAAATATGAACAATATTTAAAAAAATATAATTTAATGTCTATCAAGTATTTTATATTAAGGACTGAAGTATCCTTCTAGAAGGCGTCATATAATAGAAACTGGAGGAAGTAGATTATAGAAAATAGAGGAAGATTTTATATAGAAGAATAGACAAAAAGATTGGACACAGAAATTTTGGCTGCACTGTGAGAGAAGTTGCATTTGGAGGAACGAAAAAATATTGGCAAAACATCCTCATATAATAGCCTTTAACTCACAATTTCATTAATCTCCGGTCAAGTGTAAATTCTAAAGCATGATAAATTTTTCAAGGGTTGCAAGGTGATGGCCACTGAGTACACTCATCATGAATCCCAATCTCATTCCAAGGCTGTAAGTAAAGACGTCTTCATGCATTAACATCACAAGCGGATTCATTCTAAAGCTTCTTTTTCTTTCTTTCTTTGCGAGTTTTTTTTAATTAATTTAATAAATAATCCCAATCTAGATGCGTATGAATAGTAAATTTATAATAGTCATGAACTCTATTTTATTATAATATATGGATTAGCATAAATATTTGAAACCATATTTGTAAATTTTTTGGACCAAACAAAAAAAAAATCCAACATTCAATTATAAACACAAAAAAGGGGGGAAGTTCCAAAAGTTCTACAGAAATGATACCAACTTATAAAAATGTGATCTAAACAAGTCACAGAAGACTTTATTATTATTATTACGAGTTATTTGAATCCTATCCCTTACATTGGTCCCACTTTAATTTGTAGCCATTGGATTAATCTGAATGGTCACTGATTCACTCTATTATATTTCTTCTCTCATGCCAAAAGATGTAAGTATAATCCGTATTTTTCATCTGATCTCAATGATAAATCTGAACCACTAAATCTATCTAAATACTAGAAATGAGAAACAGAATTATCTTGTGGATAAAAAAAAATTGATGAGCAAAATCTACTTTTCTTGAAAAGCAGCGAATCCCATAAGTCCCAGAGGACCCTGAAATTAATCCTGAATATTTTTCTCCCTCAAATAAAACAATTAGAAAAAAAATTATAAAATCCACGCCAAGCATGAATTTTTTGCACCTTAAATTAGTTTCTTCTTCTTTCTTTCATGGCCCCAGATCTCTTCTGGTCCTCCCCTCATAGGCCCCCCAGCGGGAATCGAGAGAGTCTCGGTCTTATATTTCACATATCACTTATTTTTGAATGAGTATCCCCACCCCACTTCTTTATCCTATCTTCTGCAAGTGAGGCCTGCAATTTCATGCACAAAAAATAGTCATAATAATTTTTCACCATATATAACCCAGAACGAACACTCACCTCTCTCTCTCTCTCTCTCTTCACTATATATAAAATAAATTTTTCGTTTGATTTTCATCACCTGCCCATAAAAGAAGCTAAAGTTACCTCTTTATTCCAGTTGGTTTTATAAACCATCATGGAGAGAACGATTGTCTGTAAGAAGTGCCTGTCAACATTCCCGACCAGATTCCCTGAAATTCCGAAAGGAATTTTTTTATAAAAAAAACATCTCTTTATATTTGTAAACTTGTCGCGAAGAGATCATTAGGTCAGAGAATATCAGGCAATTCAACCTCCAAAAAAACACATCTGCTCGATTTGTGTAAATAAATTAATATACCAATATATAGTAGGAGAGTGCATGCATGGGTCAGCTCTAGCCTCTAAAAAAGTGTTTTTCACATATTATATATTATATGATTACTTTTTATTTTCGCTTCGGAATTTCACGTTTTAAACTCAAACTAATCCGATTAGCAGTTTTGCAAGTATTTCTTTGGGAAACATATATACCTCCCACTGAAAATTTAATCATTATTGCATATCTGGTTGTTTCAAACTGGAGATCTTTAATTAAATTGAATCATTAACACCTAGTCAATTGATCAAGCCACTCTGATGGCATCTATATGATTACTGGTCATTAATTCAACTCATCCATCTGTATGAGAAAAACAAAAATATGCATGGTTCACGTAGTCACGTACCTTGACTCCAAATTTGAGCTTGTAACCCAAAACAAGACCCAGTGGGACACCGAAAAGGTAGTAAAAGCGACGTTTACGTAAGCAACGGCAGTTTGCCATCCTGCTCCAATGGCTACTCCAGAGAGAACAGGCTGCACATTGTTGATGATGATGCAGAAAGCCAACATGGGTGTCAGCTCCCCCACCAGCTCCTGCACTTGCGTGTCGCCTGAGAACAATGCTGGGTACTGTTTCCTGAAGATGATCAGGACAAGCGACATGACCAGACCCATTATAAAAACGATGTTATTATGGCCACAACCAGCGAAAACTTTGCTGTTCTTGGATGTCCCGCTCCGAGTTCATTGGATACTCTCACACTGCACTACCATCCACAGTTCATATTATATATATATATATATATATATTTACATAGATTTGACTCGGTCAAGCTTCATTGATGTTCTGTTTAATTACTCAACCATGCATGTGCATGCAATATTTTTCAGAAAGCTGAGGGTTACGTTTATTATCGAGTTCTGTAATTAATTCGTGTGTGTGTGTGTGTGTGTAGGTGAACTGAATATCGCACCTTACGGCCGCGTTCATTCCGAAGGAGACCATCACAGTCCAGCCCAGTATGTTCGCACTGCAGAAATCCAATATCATGTCAGAAAAATGAAGCCCATGCTGGTATGGTTGAAGAAATTAATGTGAACGGTTTTAGCATATTTCATATTTATGATGATAACTGATAAGAATCACCGAGTCTGTGTCAAGTTAATAGAGGCACGTGTATGATACTATATATAATATATACTCTCTCTTGTCTTTATTGAAAGATAGTTTAATCATTTCATGTATTTTAATTTTTAAGAAAAATTAATTTTTTTTCTTAAAATCATAAAAAAATAATATATATATTTTTATTTTTATCTTTAGTTTTAAATAATGATACAACTACATTAAATACTTTCATCTTAATCGAGAAAGGATAAATTAAAAAAAAGTAATTTGATTATTATAAAGTGTTCTATATTTTAGATTGAAAATTATTTTTAAGATGTGCCTTGTAAATATGAGGGAGTTATCATAATAGATGGAACTGATTCATTAAATATTTTCTCTCCCCTATTAATTTTTAATTTAGAGTGTGTTTGTAACACGGGATCTACCGTGCAAGAAGGTCCAAGATTAAGAGAAAAGTAAAATGCTTATCCTATCTGATGTTCAAAGAATCTAGCTAGCTACTCGACGATATTATAATAGAGGATGATCTTCAAGATTTCAATCATGACCCGCTTGCAAGAGATTAGAAAATGAGGCGTTATTAGTGGTGAAGATGAGGATTTTTTGTTTGGCATCGAAAGAGAAGTCATATTTTGGTTCTTTCAAACATATCACATTGCTCCAGCGTCGACAATGACATGTGTGCGCGCATTAAAGAACCTAAAAGGATTACATAATTATGTATCTGGACCTTTATATAATAAAGTGTGATTTAGCATTGAATGAATGATTCTGATCCATATTATATTGGGTATATAAAATTATCGAGCTGCGTGAATCTGTACAGAGCCCAGAACTCAAGTTTTGATGATCAATTTATTCGTGCATGCCATCCAGGCATACAGGGCTAGGAGATATATAAGAAACTACCTAGAAATTAATTAATTAATTAGCCTCACTATCAATCCTCACTATTGTAAGTTACTATTTCATTATCTCCTAATTAAATCTAGGGGACTAAAAAAGAGTAGGGCCCTAGAATAACGCCATCCATATAGCAGGTCAATCAATTATCGTGGTGAAGTATTCAACTTAGACACGAGACCCTAGTTTGCCTTCCAACACTTCAAAACAGTACTGAAGACATGTTGGGGTAGCCAAATAGGCAAATGCTTTTAACTATTTTAAGATCCGTTATGAGAACGAAGAGAACTAATTAATTAATATAGTGAAATATCGATATCTTGCAAAACTAGATAAGCATTACTGGTTCATAATACAATCCATCATTCATGCATATCATGACTCTTCTTTATCCGTATAATATATACATCATCCTCATCTCAACTTATAAATAATATTTTGATTTGACTGATTTCATATATTTAGCTTACATTATTAGGCTCTATTTTTTTTTTTATTAAGATAGCACATACGCTCATATAAATTAAGCTTGAAAAAGGAACCGTTGATAATACTTACAAAAATAATAATGTAATTTGAAATACAATTTATAAGACAGCATTTTAATTTTTTAACAAAATATAATTATAACATATATTATGATTTATGAAAGCAGAATTTCTTACACTGTTTTTTTTTTTTTAAAAAAAGTGAAGAGAAGGGTCAAGTCTTACGCTGTTATTAATCTATTTTAATGATGATAAAATGTTGGATTCTGATCTGTATATCTGTACCCTTTTCTCTGTGGTGGTTCAAGTTTCAAAACAACCATGTCTCCCAGCGGTTTCGCTACCAAATAAAATAATAACAAGAATAACAATAATAAATATTGTATTCTTTGGTTTTATTAAAAATCACTTCTAATTACTTTATCAAAACCCATGAGAGAGATTTAAATCATTGATATTATCTAATCTAATTTTTTTTATTTGTCCTTATTAAATGTATATATCATCCTTAAAAATACTTTTTTTATTACATGCAATATCTTATCTATGAAATGATAAAATTAGAAGAAAGTAGTGAATAGTCCATTTGAATGCAAAATGATGACTTATAAATAGAATTATTAATTTTTTTTAATATGTAACTTGTATATAAAAGTGAGGAATTATATTATGGATTAGAATAGAGAGTCAACACTTACCAAATAGACAAAGCATCCACTGAAACTTCAGCGTTCTTGAGATATCCAGCGAAAAGGATCAGAGCCATAAAATACCATACCTCCAAGCTGCACCAACAAATTTCAAATGTAAGAATAATCCACCAAACAAACCACAATAACTTTCGTTGACAAGAGCCAGAATATATTATATTTCACTACCAACTAATTAACAAAATGAAATAAAAACACTAGCTAGAGATTTTGGATCTCTAATTTCAGACACATCAATTATTATTATTGTTATTATTTCAAGACGGCATTCACGTGGTCATGGATCGCGTGTGATTAGAGGAAAGTACTACAGTATTAATTGGTTCAGCCTTTACCTGTAGTCATTTTCCATGAGCACCAAGCTGTCCAGATTCAATATAATTTTTTTATATTTTTAATCAATTATAATTTTAATAAACAAAGAATTTACAATAAAGACATTATAAATATTAGTCTAATTGATAAGAATTTGAATATAATTGATAAGGTATGAGATTAAATCTTACTATAAAGATTTCATTGGTAGTTGATTTATAAGTATACTCGAACCCTAATTTGGGATCTAATTCATATAAATTTTTTTATTAAAAAATAAGTTAAATATAATTTTATAACTTTCATTCGGTCAAAAACTTTTTTTTATAAAAAAAATTACAGATTAAAAAATTTAAATTTTAACATAATAATGAGCACCGCACCGGGTGCTCATCCCGATCCACGGGATCTTATCCACCCCGTGTCTCTCTAAAAAATCAGAATGTCAACTTAAAAATTAAAATAGTCACTCGAGATCAGTGTGATCTCACTTACATATTTTTTTTTTTTTGGGTTCAAAGTAATCTCCCCTGGATGCTTCTTTTTTATTACTTCCTCCATTTAAATTATAGAATACTTTTAGATAAAATTTTATATATCAATAAATCTCATTAAATACATTTAACAATCTTATCTTTTTAATAAAAATAAAAATTTTTAAAAATATCCATCATTTAATACATTAAAAAGAAAAGAGATAAAAATTAATTGTAAAAAGAAAAAGAGTAATATTATAATTGATACATTTAATGAAACCTTAATCTACTTAAAGTGTTTTATATTTTATAATAGAGAAACTCCTTTAAAAGTATTCTATAATTTAAGACGGAGGAAGTATCTTCTATTGCTAATCAACGTACCCCTATGCATAAAATATGAGTAATTTTCAAAGTAGTTTAGGGGTGCATGTAACATATGTAGCTGTTTTTATATATTGTAATTAATGTTTTCGGTATATTAATTGTTGATTAAAAACTTGGAAAAATCTAAGACCCAACGTTTATGCATGGATGAATAAAGTAGGGAGGATTACATTCAAAAACTTCTCCAAAAATTATTCACAAATAAATACCAATACAAAATTTTTTATTGTTAAAGTAATAATAGAAAATCATTTTTTTCTTGAATGTTAACTTGTTCGTCTTTGTTAGGCAATAAATTTCTTAGGAAGTCCTTAAATACCATTTTTCCAATAAACAATTAAAAAAAGAATTACATTTAAATCCCATGTAAGAAATTGTCTTAGAAATTGACAATAGTTGTTAATTGCCTTAATTCAATTGTTAATAAATCTTATAGTAATTAATTTTATTATGTGAGATTTTAATATAATTCTTTCTTAAAAAAATATCTATTATCACTGTCATAACATAAAAATTTGAACTTGTATGAATTGAATAATTTAAGCATAAAATATTTGGACAATTGAACCATTAAAAATAAAATGAAAAACTTCAAAATAAAAAAATATGACACATAACAGCAAGGTGGTTGTTTGTCCGCCGAGACAATTGGAGAAAAAGTCGTTTTTATATTGCTCCACGCACAAAGCGTATTTTTGACCACCACATAAAATAATTTAAAAATGCTCAGTATTCTTCTTCCCGAGATCCGGCAAACGGGGGCTTGTCGGAGCTTAAATGGAAATGATGAAACAGATGAAGTGAACGATGATACGTACCAGAGCATGACGGCGGAGGCCATGGAGAGGCGAACGAAACCCACAGATTCTTAAAGGCTTGGAAGGAGAAGCCACTCCAAGCTCGCTCACAGGTTCCGCTGAAGATGTAGACCAGTTGACCCACCACGATGAGCCACCACGACGAGTTCAGGACGACCGCCGCTCCGACCATGCCCCACTTCAATTTCAGCATCAGCAACCAGCTCATCACGGTGTGCACCACCATCAGCGCCGCCGCCGATATCCACGCCATCACCATGATCTTGCTCTGCGCCTGCAAGAACTTCTGGATCGGAAAGTTCATCGCGTATGCGAACAGCTGCGGGATCATCCACAACGCGAACACCCCCGCCGCCTCCGATATCGCCGCCGTCTGGCCTATCGCTCTAAGGATTTGCCTCGCAAAGATGTACAATAGACACAGAAAAAGAGCCGTCGTGTTCAGAATCACCCATGACCTTTGCATGTAAATCCCTAACATATCAAGCTGCCCGGCCCCGTACGCCTGCCCGCACAGCGTCTCCAGCGCGCTTCCCATCCCAAGCTGTTCGTATTCAAATTCAAATAAAAAAAAAAAATCGCTTTACTCTCTGATCACTTTAATGTTAAACAGAATAGTTTCTTCTAGATCTTACCATGACGCCGAAGCAGAAGCCAGCAATGACGGAGTTCTCCACGGAGACGGCGGCGAGTTCGAGAGTACCGACATGACCGGCAAGGAGCTGGGTGACGGCGCCGAGGGAGTACTGGGAAATGGAGGTGAATATGGCAGGGCCGGCGAGGTACCAGAGTTTCTTGGACTCGATGGAGAATTGAGTGAAGAAGCCTTTGGGAGTGTCGATGTGAGGGATGTCAGAAGATTCAGCGCTGAAAATTGCAGTTGCGGCGGAGGTGGGATGACGATGTCCATTCGGTGAGGGTGTGGCGGCGGCGAGGAGTGGCCGCCTGTTATTTTCACAATCCTCCATTGCTCTTCCAGATATATTTATCAAAAATATTCACAATTCTATTCCATAGCCATCCGATTGTGTCCATATTTATAAACACTATTACTTACTACAATAATAATTACCATTTAAATCTATTCAAAATATAGGATATATTTTGATAAAATTTTCAAAACATCAATTGCCAATATATCAATTAAATAATTAAAATTATAACTTTCCAAGCATGAAATGCAGAAAAAGACAAGGCAACACCCAGCTCTTAAAATATGCTCTTTGATAACCGTAGTCATGTTCCCATCCAAATCTTATAGATATATAATAAATCTATAGATTTATTAAAAAAACAATTGTTGGATGGTATAAATATTTTTAAATTTCCATTTTCGTTTATAGTTTTTATAGATATATAATAAATCTATAGATTTATCATTTCTATTTCATTGAATTCCGAGCTTTTGTTTCATTTTTCTTTCAATTCCTTTTCTTTTCACCCCTTTAAAAGAAGAAGAAGAAGCAAATATCTTGCTTTTGCAAAGAGATCGCTCTCGGTTCAAATAAAAAAGAGAAAGAAGTCTTGATTGAAAAAACGGAGAGACTGGTGACAGACTCCCTCCATTTTTATTTGATAGAAAAACTGTCATTTATGTTTATTTTTTTTATAAGTAAAATCACATATATCAATAAATATTTATTATGAATTTTCTAAATTACTTTTTATAATTTACATTAATGAAAAATAATTAATGCATGTTTATCTTGATTAACACAGTGTATTCTAGTTTAATTTTTTATTTTCAAACATAATTATTATAAATAATTAATTTTTTAAATAGTGTGCTATAATTTTTTTAGAAAAAAATTAATCTTTTAGTCCTCCAACTTTTAATTCACTTGTGACTCAATCCCTCAACTATGACTCGCTGTGACTCAGTCCCTCAATTATGACTCACTATGACTTAGTTCCTCAACTTTTAAATCACTTACAAATTAATCCCCTAACTTTTGTTAATTTTTTTTCATATTAGCTTATATCTCACATCAATAAGTAAGAGGAGAATTATTTAAAATAATATATAAACATTTTTTCTATCCCTCTTATTTGATAAGAAATTTTAAAAAAAATTAAAAAATAAGGATTAATTGAGAGATTGAGTTACAAATGAGTTAAAAATTAAAGAATTAAAAGATTAATTTTTCTTTTTTTTATGTACAAAAAGAGAGAGGGTATATAAATAAAAAATATAAAACTAATGAGAGTCATATCAAGCATGAAAGTTCTAACGTGATAAATCAAGATTTGATTCTCTATTAGGAGATACCTGCATTTATTCTTGACTTAGATGGGAACAAAATTAGGGGGAAAAAAAAGAATACTATACCGGAACATTCTTAAATATTTTTTCCTATTCATTTTCCAACTAAAATATTTAAGCATCGGATGAAAAGAATTATACAAAGATGCTCGTGTGGTGTGTGAAAATAGCTTTATCACTCAATGCGATCTCCACGTGCCTCATGAGTGCCTCTAATTTCTAGTATAGCTTTAAGGATATGTAATCATGCGATAAGTGTAACTACCCTTTAAAAATATAAGGTATTTTAAAAAAAATTAAATATAAAAAATATAAAATATTTTTAGTATTTTAAAGTATAATTATTACTTTTTTTAAAGTGCCACTATTAAATAATTACTTTATATTTATTTTAAAATAAAACACTCGATTGCATATTGATAAATATAAAAAAATAGTATTAATTTAATGATAAGTAACTATTTTATTGAGGGTGAGGTTCAATTAAAAATATCTTACATATTTAAATGGATGGAGTATTTCATTTGTGTGTAGTTTTGTTGAGAAAATTAAATTATTTGATAAGTACTTTTTATGGTACAGTTGGGTGCATTATTCACTACTAGAAAAATGTAAATTGGTGAGAAAATTTAGCCAAGAAATTATCCATTCTTCTTTAAAATAACAAAATAGTGAGGAAATTAGAAAGAAATATTGATTTCATAGCTTGGCTGAAAATTAGTAAGAAAAAATAGCGATAGTTGTTAATTTATCTCTAAAAAAATAATTAACGAAAAAAATAGTGAAACATATTTATACCTCTCTAAAATGAGAGATCAGCGAGGGATTTAGTATTCCTCTCTAAAACAATAATAATTAGCGAGATACATTTATACATATCTAAAAAGAGAGATTAGTGAGGAATTTTGTATTCTCTCTAAAATAAGATAATTAGAGAAGAAATTAGTGAGGCAATTTTATACATCTATAAAATTATACATTAGCGAGGGATTTAGTTAGAAATTTTATATTTTTTCTAAAATAATATAATTAGCAAAAACAATTAGCTAGCTATTTTTATACCTCTCTAAAAATATATAATTAATAAAAAATAGCAAAAATTTTTTTCTACTTCTCTAAAATAAGATATAACTAGCAAGAGAATATCCCTCTAAAAATATATTTTTAACAAGGAAAATAGAAATGTATTTTTTATACCTTTTTAAAATAAAATAATTATATTAGCAAGCGATTTTGTGCCTATCTAAATTAATTTTTTGGCCTAAAATTTGAGTTAGGCGCCAATACTTATGTTACCTTGTTTTTTTTTATCTAAAAATTCATTCCCTCCAACAAACCCCTCCCAAATATTGCTCAACTCTCACTGGTCAGTGCTCTATAGTTAACCCTTGAAATTTTACTCACTCGTTGCTTCTTCTTTAGGCTCTATTTGGTTAGGGATAAATGGAAGGGAGGGGCTCCATTTCTCTCATTTGGTTAAAAAATTTTGGAAGGAAGGGGAGCCAAAATTTTCCCTCCCCTTATTTTGGCTCCCTTTAAATTGGAGTTTTTTAGAGGGGAGCTAAATTTGTTAACTAATTTACCCTCATTATTTTTGTTATACTCCATATTGCCCTTAGAAGAAAATAAACACATTATTGCTCTCTATCTTTGCAGATGCTCGATTTCTCTTGTGTGTGGGTCTTCTTTGATTATTCAGAGCTCTCACTGTGCGTCTACTCTAGAGCGTTTGGAGCTCCCATCATGTGTCATCTCGTCAAATTCTTCAGAACTCCCACCGTGCGTCATCCAGTTGAATTGTGAGTTTTTTGGCTCTTATCACCGACTTTCTATCTTTGCTTTGAATGGATCTGCTTGATTTAAGCTTCATCCACTTCATCTTGTTTTGAGATTCATCTTGAGGTTTCTTTTCTTTTCGTTCGGACTCTGTTATGAGATTCACCATCTTCATCCTCTGTACCTGATAATTTGTAAAGTACATCATAGAACCTGAGTAAGAGATTTGTGCTCTTGAAATTTACAGCCTGAGATTCTCCATCTCCACTTGTTCTCTCTATTTCATGGTGCTCTTGAAATTTACAGCTTCGTGACTAAGCAAAATGAATATTTCTTCTAACGATCCACTTGCCTTGACTTGTGGAACAAAACCCATGATCTATCTCTAACTTTAAATTACCCCTTGTGTTCTTGTCCGCATTTCTTAATTGGAATATTATAACATTCTTTTCAAAGCTCTGAGATCTCTATTTTGGAGGTTTCGATATAGCTAAAGGGAACTAATACATTTATCACTTGCATTGAGTTTTGCTTTAAATTCTGGGAACTGATTTGGCTTTTGTTTGTGTTTGAGATTGGGAAGTTTAAGTCTCGATTACATACTCGCATTTCTTATCTTTAGAAAAAGTTTAAGTCACATTTTTCACCCAAGACATTAGAGCATGATTGTTTGGGATTGTCCATGTTGTTAAACAGGTTAATTTTAGACCACTCAGGAGTTTATTAGTTGGGAATTGTATTTGTTGTGTTATTGTATCATCATAATAATACATGATTGTATGTTAATGCCCCCCAAAGTATTGAAAATTTTCTCATTGAAATAAGATGATATATGATTGTATGGATGCTTTGGTTTTCTTGCATTGAGGATTAACCGCTACATGTGTTTGTTCTTGATACATTTCTTTCTTGGTCGGAAAAAAAATCTTACAGGGACTTTGACATGAGCCACAATTTATTGATGTTTTTTTCCTCCTTTATCCAAGCATGTAATATATATATATATATATATATATATATATGATCATTATTTTCTACTAATAAAACTGAATCTTTTGCTCTTATTTATGATAATTGTGGCTTGTTTGTTGATTTCTATTATTATTTTAGTTACTTTGTTAGAGGAGCAAGGAATCTAAATATCTTTTATGGGTATAACATTGGTTTGAATTGCGTCGAAGAGCACTCCCTCTTCTTGCTTGTGTCTTCATAAAAGTATATGCAAGTAAGATGTGTTTAAAGAAAATAAGTTACAGTTTGAGTGGTAAGAGAGAATGGTGTGTGATAAAATAATGAGTTAAATTAGTGATTGTCTATCTAGTCAAAATATCATTAGAATGACTCTTAGAACTTTCTTAGAATTATGTGGTATATTAGAAAGAGAAGTTAGCCTGCAACCCACGTGATGGTCAAGTGTGGAAGAAATGATTGCAAAAACTCTATATATATTGACACACAATGTAAAAAAATCATGGAATGAATTTTTGGTTTAAGCATTTTGGTGAAATAATTAGTCATCATTTTCATCAAGTTTTGATAGCTATCATTGACTTAGAAGAAAAGTTTCTTGTTTAACATAATGGCTCAGCCATCCCTCCTGAAATTGAAAAAGATAATAAATTCTTCCCATATTTTAAGGATTGTGTCAGTGCTATTAATGTATGAGTCAAGATGTCTTCTTTAGATGCTCCTAGATACCGTGGTAAGAAGGAATTCTTGATATAGAATGTGTTAGCAGCATGTATATTTGATCTAAAGTTCACTTATGTGCTCCCTGAATGGGAAGGAATTGTTTCTGACTCACGAATAATTAAAAATGCATTAATACAAGAAGATAGGCTTATAATTTTTGAAGGTAAATATTTTACCAATTTTGATACTGTTTACATTTGTAATTGCAAAATTACTATAGTAATTATTTTCCTTTATGATAGGTAAGTATTACCTTGTCGATATTTGATTTATGTTAATAAGAGGACTTATAATATCTTATTGGCGAGCCTG